CCTCTCCCAGTTACAAGCCTGTCAGGATGGGCGGAGCAGGAGCCAATGTTATCTCCTGCTCTGTGGGGAGTGGTGAGGCACCAGGCTGGTCCACCTGGGGGTTCCTCCCAGGGCTGAAATTCCTCAGAGTGAGGTCCACACCCTTGCTGGATGCCTGGAGACCCTTCATCTTCCCCTGGGGGTTCCTTTGTCCTAATTTCTCTGTATTGTCTGGGAAGTACCTCCTCCTGTCAACCTACCCAGGCTACCTGTGTCTAGGCCAGCTGCCTTCTTCCAGGAGCTGTCAGGTTCTGTCAAAGGTGGAATTGAGGCCAGATCTCTGGAGGGATGTCCCTTGGTGGCAGCCCTATATTGACCTCACTCTGACTCCTGCTTTCCTGGCCCTCAGGCCAACTCAGGCCCTGAAAGCTTAGCCACATAGGGGCTTGCAGGACCTTGGGCTGGTCTGTATCCCTGGAGCAGGGCAGAGGCAGAGGGAGGGACAAGATGACCCAGCATGTGGCCCTGTCTGAGGCTGAGCCTGGATGAAGCTCTTCCCTGGGAAAGTTCTGTCACTAATTGACTTGCAAATGCCTTGTTTGTCCCCAGATTCATAATTAGTGCTAAGGATTTCTAGGGCCCCATCCTAGAGGGGCTTTTTTGGGGGCAGCCTGTTCCTCTCCCCTCTCTGAGGTCGGCTGGGCTGGGGGTGGGCAGAGCTGGGCACCGGTGCCCAGCTGCCGTCCAGCGTTCCCACGGCTCTGGTGCCAGCGTGTGAAAGGCGAGGTGCGGGGGGCATGGGGGCCGGGGCTCCCCACCATCCTCAGCCGGGACCATGGCCAAAGCCCTGAGGCTCCAGGAAACGACAGAGCTGGGGAGCGGACTGTGGCAGTGGGTGGGGGCTGGCTGGCACCCCCAGGAAGGAGAGCCCAGCCGGTGCTGGGGGCTGGCATCAGCCAAGCCTCCGGCACGATGAATGGGCCAACAAGGGGCCTCTCTTCCCCACGGCCTCACCACAAAGGCCTTGGCTGTGCCACTGGATGTGGGGGCTGGGGGCCACCGGAGGAAGAGGAGAGGCTATTCTCAACAACTCCCCCACCCCTAGCCTCTCTAACTCCTAGGAAGGGGCCCTGGGCTTGAGTTCAGCCCCAACTTTAACTTGTATCTGCAACTTTCCCGACCTCTCTGAGTCTCAGTTTCCCGAATTAGGTCATCCCTTAGCATCTTTCCCTGGCCTCATGTTCCCCTCCTGGTCTCTCCCCCTAGCTGTCCCCCTCCCCGTGGCCGCACCCCACACTCCAAAGACAGGTCTCAGCTCTGCAGGCCCTGCCTAGCCTGAGACCCAGCCATATCTCCCCTCCTCCAGGGTTTAGTAGCCATAGCCCTGCACCCTTCTGCCCTTCCTGTCCCCACAGGGCGGGAAGGAGAAGGTTCTGAGCTATGCTATCTACCGTGGAGGCCACAGGCCAGGCTCTGCCGCTTGCAAACTGAGTGACCTGGATGAATTAGCTCTCTGGGCCTCACAGGTTATCACCAGCATCCAGTGAGTGTGAGTGGAAGACACTCTGGGCACTCAGCTGAGGTTCCTTCTGTCTTCTCTTCCTGAGCCCCACTCTCAAAGCTTCCTGTCAGTTTGTCTGTGTTTTCCTGTAACTGAGGATAGTCAACTCCTATCTTTTTTACCTAGCCATTCCACCAGTCCCTCTATAGGCATTATTTTATCTCCATTTCTTTTCTCAGAACTGACCATTTTTCTTTGGTTAGTCCTTCCTGAAGTCTAACCTTCTATTGCAGGCTGCCCCTCCCCAGGCCTGGCCCCTTTCCAGGCTACCCTGCAGCTGGATCCCTGAGGGAAAAGGGAGGGGTGGGCTCTATGGTAACCCTGAGAAGAGAATGCCCTCTCTTCTCATCTGCATACAGACGGATTTATTTGCATACAGACAGGCCTTATCTGAATATACTCAGTGGGACTCTGAGAGCCCATTCCACAGCGTCCAGCTTGGGTCCTCCCACCCGGTCCTGGCATCCCCATCAAGGGAGAGGACCCTCCCCGCCCCTTCTGCCCCTGTCTGGATCTGGGTCTTTCTGTTTCCGAAGGCAGGCCACCCTCTGTGTCTCCTCTCCTGCCTGCTGTCACCCTTGCCCCTTTTCTGTGCTTAGAGGAGTCCTTCTCTTTATCATCTCCTGCCTGCCCCAGCTCCTTCACTCAGGAGCTCCTCTCTGAGTGGGAGGCCACTTGTGGAGACAGAGGGCTGGCCCCTGTGACTGACTGCCTCTCTCTACTGATATCCAGAGAGATGGTAAGGGGTTCACAAAGATTTATGCTCAGACATGGGGTGGGGAGTGGCCCAGGAAGCTTCCACCATGTTGACCTACCCCACATCAGACCCTGCCTCCCCAGAGACCAACCCCTGGGGCCACAGAGGGTCCTGGCAAAGCCAAACAGTGAAAGGGCCCCCCAAAGAGGCTGGGGAACCTCAGAAGCACTCCAAAGGCCTGGTGAGCCTGCGCTCACCCCCTCAGACACACCAGGCTTTGATGCAGACAAAACTGCTTCCTCCTGGCAGTGTCTTTGCCCGCAAGTTCTCAGCCCCAGTCCTTGCGGGGGACCCTGGGGTTCCTGAGATTCTTCCCCTGATGGGTCTCCAACATGCCAAGGACTTTAGACATCCTCTCTCTGACCTCTGTTTCCTCTGTAAACTGAGGAACTGGGCAAGACCAGGTGGCTCTCACATGACATTTCTTCCTGCAAATAGTGCCCAGGTGCCTAGTGCACCTTCTGCATGCAATTTTAGTAGATACAAGGATCCTCTGAGGTCCTGCTTGACCTTGGGCTAGGAGCCTTGGTCTAGAGGAGCTACAAAGTCTGTGGTAAGTGTTTAAATGGAAATAGGAGTATTCACATATGCCCTTGGGTGAATATGGAGTGTCTCAAGAGAATGTAGGCACCAGAGGTTGCTTCTTGGGAGAGGAGGTGTGGGTTGGGGACAGGAGAGGGAAGGAGACATACTTTCCCTTTCGTGCTGTTAGAGTTGTGTCATGAGGCTCGGCACCTGTGGCTCAAGTGGCTAAGGTGCTAGCCACATACACCTAAGGTGGCAGGTTCGAATCCAGCCAGGGCCCGCCAAAACAACAATGACGGCTACAACCAAAAAATAGCTGGGCATTGTGGCGGGCACCTGTGGTCCCAGCTACTTGGGAGGCTGAGGCAGGAGACTCACTTGAGCCCAGGAGTTGGAGGTTGCTGTGAACT